CGCCGCTGCCGCCCCGAGCGCTCGGGCGAGCGGAGGCCGGGCGAGCGGGCGGGCCGGACGGAGCCTGCCTTGCCGCGCTCGCGGGGAGAGAGACGCGTGTTCTCCGCTCTCGCCGGACTTCCCAAGCCGCCGCAGGGGCGGGGGGCGGGGGGGCAGCGCCGGCCTGCGCCCCTGCACGAGCCCCGAAACGGAAGCGCGAGGCGAGCCCGGTCATTTCAGTGCTGCGGCCTTTGGCTTAGGCTTGCGAGAGAGATTTGACTGCTCCTGTGGTACACCTGCAACTCTTAAAACGGATCACGCAAAAACCCGCATAGGTTCTGCCAGGCCCGGCTCCAGTGCAGCTGCCCCTGCTGGAGGACGGTGGTGCCCCGGGCCGGGCCCCCGCAGCCGCTCTCAAGGAACCGGCTGGTCACGTGAGAATCGGCGCTGGCCTCGCTCGGCTCCCCGTCTGCTTTTGCGTCGGTCCTGGCACTGCTTCCCACTTGGGCCCCACGGGGCCTTCTTGGTGTGAGGCCGCGGGAGGAGGAGGAGGAGGTCGAGGGTAAAAAGGGCCTCTCTTGTTCGTTGACCGTGAGAGAGACAGGCGGCACCAGCAGGTAATTTTATAAAAAAGACGCTTTATTGTAGGTGCACACAAACAACAGAGAGTGGGACCGTCTCCAGTCGAAACCACCAGGCGTGGCGCTTTCATATATTTAGCCTTTAGATATGCAGAAAACATGCAGAAAACATGCTGTTAGTGTTGTACGTGGTTACCTGAACCTACACTTCTGGTGTCAAAACAATTGGTTCCAAGCTTATCTTTTATACATTCCAGCCTTCTTGGGGAATGCTTATTTTATATTTTCAACTCTTATGTCTCTCTGATAGGACTTTAATTGACCCTTGCTGTTTGGTCGTCAGGAAAAACCATCTTCCTCAAGAGGACCTTGGTGGTGACGGCAGCCCAGCTGTGGCTTGGCTTCCACAGATAGTCTTGCTTGCACCTATTCAGAGGCCTCTTCAGTTCCAGAACACCGAAAGCTCCAGATTTCCCCAGGCTTTTAAAGCCCTTCAACTTTAAAAACAGTATTGTTTCTTTTTACACTTTTGGTCAGTTTTTTTAGAGCAAGAAATTTTCTGTATTTTGTTGTAAAAGTAAAAAGGAATCACTTTTCCCCCATGTCTATTTGTACTATGCTACACTGGTCACTTAGAGGTTATGTAGCAGAACAGCAGAAAGGGAAAAGCTTTATCTGACTAGTAATTCTATGGCAGAATTGAAACAGCTTGGTTTTATTCTATTTCATACTTAAACTTTCATATTATATTTACAACATATTTATTTTACATAATATATTTACTAGATTATTCTACTGTAGTGTCTTGGGTTTGATGGACCTCTCAGAGCACTTCCAGTAACTGTTGGTATAGAAATGCAATCCATAAAATCAGCATATCGCGAAGTGACTGAAGCCTTCCAGTCACTTAGACCGTGTGCCTAGACAGACTAATTTTAAAGTGTTGAAACAGGGTGTCCTCTTATGAGTCATCTCCTCAAAAGGTGGAATGCCTCAGCAAAAAGAGGCTAGTGAATTGCATATGATGGCAAGTGCCAATTTATAGGCATGCAAGCAATTATGAGAATGTCCGTGCCCGTGTTGCCCATGTTGCAAATGCGCAGTGGCTACTCTGCGTGCTGCCCACTGCTCAGGTGCAGCTAGCTCAGCTAGCAGTGGGCAAAAACCGCCTTCAGCTTCTTGATCTTTGAACTGTGCTTAGACTGGACAAGCCTTCAAGTGGAGGACAGCCCTCTGTGAAAGAGGACACAGGGCCACCCCATGGAGTGACGATGGCGACGGCCTCCATTACGATTCACGCCTCCAAGGCAAACCCAACCCAAGCAGAGCACAGCTCCGGTTAGTGGAGAACATATCCGAAAGGATGCTGGGCACAATAAGGCCCCACCTGAAGCAGTCGGGGTGTTCTTATCTTCCGCCATGTCTTGCTTTAAAGCTCCTTTTGTGGAGGAGACTGTTCTTGGAAAGGACCATGACACAGAGCACCAGCCCACAAGCAACAGCTCCATCACCCTGCTGATCCTGGCCTGACTCTTCCACGTTTCCCTGCTACCTGAGTTATTCTCTCTATTTGTTTTTTGCTACCCCGTGCTTTTCCCTGCATAGAAAGCTTACACCATCCTCCTCCTCTCCATTTTATCCTCACAACAACCCTGTGGGTTGGTTACATTGAGAGTCTAGCACTGGCCTACAGTCCCCCAGTGAGCTTTATGACTGAATGGGAACCTGAGCTCCGGTTTCCCAAGTCCCAGCCCCAGTCCAACACTCTCACCACTAGGCTATACTGGCTTTTCTGCATTGCAGAATGCTCTGGAGAACTCACATGCACACAGGAGTTTGCAATCTTTGAGCTGGCCTAACAGGGCTATTTCAGCATTTTTCTTTTGGCCAACCAATTCGCCTCTGCTCTTAGGGTTCAACTGTGTTCTAAGGGGTGCATAGCAGGAGGAATCATGGGTGCCCGGGTTCCCTGTTGCTGCTCAGTTTCCTATTTCTTGGAACTGGCTGCCAGAAGCCTTCAGGCCCACCCCATGTCTCTGGCCAGACTGCACCAAGGCTCTGACTCTGCTATGTGGGAAATTCCAGCCCGGATGACAAATCTCACTAGCCTTGCTTGCTGTGCATTTGCTTGGACTTCAGAGGGTCAGCAGCTGAGCAGCGGTTTCTCCTTTCCTTCCTGTCCCATTAGGATTCCTGTAATTGCAGTCTACCCTATGAGCCAAGAACAAGAAGCAGAAACTATAGAAAATGTGCTGCTCCAGACTTGCATGTGATTCTTTGTCACAAGCCAGCTGACAGGTGACGAAGGCCAATTTTCCCTGGATCCCAGCCTTGCAAAATCCTGCAAGACCACCACTGCCGAGGTTCAATGGCAGCCGTGAAAGTGTTGAACGGACTGTCCAGTGCTTGCCCAGCACTGTGTAGGTTCCTCTTGGGATACCAAAGGCACAAGGAGTTGTCATGGCAAGCCTCAGATGCCTTCTCCATTCCCAAAAATGCATGGAGATAGTTGTGCCTTTGCATGCATTCCATAAAATCCTGTTCTGTAAAGCAAGGGGAGATGACCCAAAGTACCGTGTACTGTGGAGGCCCGAGTGGGACACTGTTGATGTACCGGACACCCTCCTGCCCAACTGCCTCCCTGCCTGAGCTGACAGAGACCACCTTGGACCTGGTGTTGAGGACCCCCAGGATGTTGGTTCTGAGGGATTTCAATTTCCATGCCAAGACTGTTCTGACCGGGGCAGCTCAGGACTTCATGGCCACCATGACAGCCATGGGGCTGTCTCAACATGTCACCGGCCCAACATATGGACAAGGGCCCTCTCTAGACCTGGTTTTTTCTACAGGACAAGAAGATGGTGATCTGGAAGTGAGAGATTTGACGTGAATCCCTTTGTCATGGTCAGATCATCTCGTGAGGTTTAAACTTAGGGCAGGCTTTCCCCTCTGAAAAGCTGCGGACCCTATTAAAATGCTCCCCCCCCCCCCCCCCAAGTCAAATGGCTCTGGATGGATTCCTGAGGACTCTGGGGGAATTTCCAGTTGATAAAATGGGTGTTCCTGTTGACGCCCTGGTTGATCTGTGGAATGGAGAATTGACCCAGGCAATTGACACAATCACTCCTAAGCATCCTCTCTCGCTAAGCAGAACCTGCACGGCGTCTTGGTATATCCCTGAGTTGCAGGCAATGAAGCAGGCTGGGAGACGACTAGGTGGAGGAAATCCCATGCTGAATCTGACCGAACACAACTGAGAGCCCTTTATTGGGCCTATACTGTGACCGTGAGGGCAGCGAAGAAGAAATCCCTCTCCGCTTCCATTGCATCCTCACAGTGCCGTCCAGCTGAGCTTTTCTGGGTGGTGTGGGGTCTTGTTACATTCTGGAGCAAAAAGTGACTTCATCACACCATCGGTGGCTAGCTGTGATGACTTTGCCCAGCACTTTAGGGATAAAATCGCTCAGATTCATCACAAGCTGGACTCCACAGTTGATTTAGTGCCTGTGCGGAAGGTGTCCAGAGCGCCGTCTGATCCACCTTCAATTATGTGGACAAGGTACTTGAACTTGTCTGGCCTACCAGTTGTTTACTCGACCCTTGCCCTTCTTAGCTGCTCATCAAAGCCAAGGACGGGATGTGTATCTGGGTCCAGGAGGTAGTTAATGCCTCCCTGAGGGAGAGTCAGGTTCCTACCCCCTTGAAGGAGGCGGTGATCAGGCCTATCCTGAAGAAGCCGAACCTGGACCAAAATTTGGCTGCCAATTATAGACCAATGGCTAACATCCTGTTCTTGGGCAAGATGCTTGAGCGGGTGGTGGCCGGGCAACTCCAGGCTCTCTTGGATGAAACTGACCTTCTAAACTGACTAAAGCCCTTTTCAGTCTGGCTTTAGGCCTGGTTATGGGGTGGAAACTGTCTTGGTCACCCTGTATGATGACCCATGCAGGGAGAGGGACTGGGGGAGTGCGTCCCTGTTGGTTCTCCTGGGCCTCTCAGTGGCTTTCCAGACAAGACGGAGGTCCTGCTGGTAGGTGGATTAGCCTCCTGGGTAGGTGTTTCCAATCCTGTTCAGGAAGGGGTTGCACTCCCCCTAAAGGATGGCGCACAGTTTGGGAATGCTCTTCGACCCAGAGCTGTCCCTGGAATCCCAGGTGGCGGCTGTGGCGAGGAGCACTCCAGCTTCAGCTGATCTAGCAACAGTGCCCCTATCTGGATGCGCAGTGCCTGGCAGCAGTGACCCATGCCCTGGTAACTTCCTGATTGGACTACTGTAATGCACTCTGCATGGGACTGTCCTTGAAGACTGTCTGGATACTCCAATCGGTCCAGA